TAAACTCTATTATAAATAAGGGGTGATAATTTTGGTCTACTCACTACAATAACACTAGTTTTTGGATGTATTGGAGACTTGGGTAGTTGTGTGTTAAGAAAGGGTTTGTAATTTTTCTGTGCAAAAATTGTAAGTGAGGGTTTGCAATTTTCCGGTCCTAAAAATTGCACGTTGACTAATAAAATATTGTTGAGGTGTTGAAACACCTTAAAATATTTTGTGTGCTTTTAATGAACCGTGTTAAAATATTTTGTGTGCTTTTAATTGTTTGTTATGGGTGTGTGCTTCCGCTAGTTGAGTTTTGTGTGCAGATGTTCTTTTCCCTTATGGTACCCAACAATTAGTAGCTTAAAATATTATATAGTCCACATATACTTAGACAATAAAATAAATCATAATTACATTCTTTAAAAAAAGTGATATTTATTTGTCTTGTTTTAAAATTATTTTTTAAAAGAAATAAGTTAAGTTCCTTATACGAAACTCGAGGAGCTTGTTCAAGTACATATAAAATATTTGTTTTACTAGTGCAATGATAATATTTAACATCATTATTTTGGACCTTCTACATCAGTTCATTAATCGATGTAGATACCATTATACTTTCTACATCGATTTTATAATCGATGAAAAAAAGTCACATATAACACTGGTTATGAAAAGAACTGATGTGGAATGCATTCCATTAAAGCAAAATGGGTGTAGGGGTGAGAATATATTACATCAATTATGACAAAAATCGATGTAATATGAGATATACCACATTAGTTATGGACTGAACCAATGTGGTATGTTGGAGATATAACATCAGTTATACGAGGAACTGGGTGTCTTGGTCTTGATATCATCATAGATAACATCATATATATTCGTTTCATGCATAACCATTAAAACAAGTTATAAATGACAAACAAAATAGACCATGAACTATGTTTGCTACTTAAGTTACTATAAAGATTCATTTTATTTGTTGTAAGACTAAGTTTAAGGTTTCTTGAATCATTTCAAAACTATGAAAGCAAATAATCAATTTTCTTCCATTATGGTGAATCAACAACATGGTATAACAATATATCAGATCTTGTACCATTTGGATGCCACATAAAATTCAATAAATAATTGATGTTAGCAACCAAACGCTTAAATCTTGAAATAATTATAAGATACCATAATACTTTTGTAAGATGACACTTTTTTGTGTTGACATTATCATAATCATTATTCTTCGTTTTGTAGCATGAAACTTCACACCTTAGATAATTATGTAATGCTTTAAATGTTCTTTAGTATAATATGCAATAATTAGGATAAACATATGTTTTTTTATACTCCAAACTCATTGGACATAAGATTTTCTTGGCTTCGTAGTGACAAGTGGGTAGCATATTACCATCTGGTAACATTTCACTCAATAATTCAAGTAATTCAATAAAGTTTTTATCATCTCACTCATTTTTTGGCTTAATATTTATCAATTGTAGTACTAATAATAAATGTGTGAATATGGACAACTTGGATATAAAGATATCTTATAATCAGTTTTCAAGGTTTTATATACATAGACTTATTGAAAAGATTCTTCTCCAACCTTATGAATCATGTACTCTAGTTGATAATCAACATTCATATCAAAATATTAAAAATTGACATGTGAGAAGTGTTTAGTAATTCACCATATCAAGTCCGAGTTGTATAATTTCATAAGAAACCATCACATAGAAGTTGTTCTCATATCAATTCAACTTCTAATTGTCTCACATTCAAACAAATATCATATAGAAAAACGATTCCATTATTATCTGCAACTTGAGACCATTCAACAAACTTTATAAAATTTTCAACGTCATTCTCGTAGTCTTCACTTATTTGACTATCATTTATCTAACTTTGATCCATAATAATATAATGACATTTATAATAACTTCTTTCATGACATCTCACTTTTTTTTAAGTGTGAACATGTTCCATTTAAGAAGATATTTTTTTTATAACTCATGCATCTAATAATATATTTAACAAGATATAACATAACTTGTACACTTAACAAATATGTAGGGGTTCTAGCTACAATTTTTAATCACTAATTGTATAATTCTCTAATTATTAAATTCTCTAATTGTATAATTGTAAATTAAATCTTTAATCTCTAATTGTATATTAAATTTAAAATTCTAAAATTAATTCCGCAATCCCTAATTCTAAATTAAATCCCTATTACCTTATTTTAAATTGAATCTTTAATTATAAATTAAATCACTAATTCTTACTTGTATACTAACTTCCCAATTCTAAATTAAATTCACAACATCTAATTGTATACTAAATATAAAATTGCAACTTACAAAGCACACATCAATTAAATTTTGTCAACAGTCACAAATTAAACAGATATGCAAAAATGGTGTGCCCAATACCTCAAATAGCAATGACAGAATGGAGATGCAAACGTTGGAAGCAAATGTTGGTAGCACAGCCAATGTGACATAGTAGTGACACAAACTTATTATTATATGTAAAATATTTTGACAATTAACTGATTTTATTTCTCAGAACCTTATGAGTTTGATTTGGCAAAGCCATTTTTCTCTTACTATCTTCTTATCTTTGGGTAGTCGGACAAACTTCCGTACATCATTCTTTTAGAACTATTCCAGTTTGTCTTACATGACTTTAATGTTATTCTCCAAATGCATGACTTTAGTTTGGACCACCAAATATCCGTGTCTTTGGATGAATCTTCCTTTAGTTACATCCAATTGGTTTTCAAACACCTAGCCATGGACCTTCTAGTTATCCACAGGACTTTGTTGGTTCCTTCTATTCATTCGGCACTTTATATACTTCTTTTGTTAAGTCTATCCTAAGATCTATCTCAGCTACTCTTGTTATTTGTCCCTTCATATTTCCTACAAAGGTGATTATACTATGCATAAGAATTAGACTTTGAAACATACACCTTTCACCCATCACGTGTCATTAGCATTCATAGTCAAAGTACTATGTCAAGTGTTTCCTTCTTGTCCTAAGTATTTTATTTTTAGGTATCTAAAACTTTGTGGGCCTTTTTTCTTTGTTAATTCTGAAAGTATTGGATGATGTCTTGATAAGAAGCTTTTTACACTTCTTACATGATTATTTTCACTTCTTCTTGTCAAGGTTTTCAATACTACCCACAAATTTCGCTAACATTCATTTCATTGAGGAGTTTTGTTTTCTCTTACAAGATTTGCAATCTATTAGGAGTATGTTCTTCTCTGTTTTTAAGAGTTCGTAATTTCTTTCTAGTCATGCATGTTTGTTTAAAAAACTCATAATTAAATTCAATAATATTTGTCAATTTGTTCTTTTTATATATTTGGTTTCATCTCTACAAAATTGTTTAAGAATAAATATATTTGGTTCTTGTCTTATTACTAATTTTTTATTCATTCAAATGGATGAAATCAAATTAACTTGAATTAATATTTTTTTTTTTATGATCAATCTAATAGGACGTAGTTAGATGGGTTGAGTTAATCAATTTTGATTATAACTTCATTCGTTATTAAGATGAAATTTAAAAATAGATCAATAATATTTTTTTTATTTCTAATAATTAAATTTATTACTTGACATGTAAAGTTTATTATATTCAAATAATAGTTGTACATTTAGATTATTTTCATATTCTTATTTCTCATTCATTTCATTAATATTAGATTGTAAATATTAATTGAGATTTATTCCACACCATTAATCATAATGAAGTTAATTCTTTGATTTTTCATTGATGTCATTATTTCATAGCTATTCTGCTTATCATAGTCATATTCCAAACACATAAAATATTATTTCATTCAACCACTTTACCCGCATTTTCTATAATATTAGCTTATTGCAGTGTTCACTCATTTGGATATTTAATTTCTAGCCATAGGAATTCATATAAATCTTATTATGATTGTTGGATTTTATAGAATTAATCCAAAAGTAATTTTCATAATTTTGTATAATTAATTTTTTAATTTTTTTTGTTTATTTTTTACTACTTATGTATTTTTTTTATCTCATATATATTATTTTTAAATATAGGTTATAATAATTAGTTTTTAATTGTGATATTTTTCTTTTCTTTCGTTTTAATAATAAAACAATAATTTAAAATTTTATTATAATAGAATTTATGAATTAATGTAATGATTTGAAAAGACAATCGACTATATCTTTCTTGGACTCTAAGTTTCGTCGATTCACTCATTCCACTGACCGACAGTTTGTAAATACAAACCCACAAAAAATGGTCAGAAGTTATATATATATATATATATATTATCATTGTATAATTTTTAAAAATAATTATTGAAAATATTAAATAGCAATACAAAAATGTTTCATACTGTAAGTAAATGCACTAACAATATATTTTAGACAACAAAATTGGATTAATATCCAAATTTTTAATTTTAATTTGGTCTTTTAAATTTAAAAAATTCACATTATTTTTTTTATACAATCAATTTAGTTTTTTTCTTTTTTTATCAATTCATCATACTAATTTACTAACTCCATGATGTTGGATAAAATATAATAAATAACAGGTCAACTAAAAACAATGCAAATAGTGAAAACAAAAAATCAATGGAATGAGTAATATAATTAAATAAAAGTTAAAAAAAATAAAAACATTCAAAGCTTAAGAAAAAATAAATATGTAAATCTAAAATTTCATTTAATCAGTTCATACTAATAGATTTGTCGTCTTTTACTTTTATAAATAATTGTTTGTAATTTATTTACCATTTACCATGACTTTATTTGGATATATTGAATAAAGAAACAATTTATCGGAATGATGCGCCAGTAACAGTAAACTTGGTGTAGCCGGTAACTTCACTCTGTTGAATGAAGAACAGTGGCTTCTCCATCTTCAACTAGACCTTCCAATTTGCGAGATTCAGAAGAAACCCAAAAGTTTTGTTTGGTAGAAAACGCATGCGTTGTGTTGTGACCCACCTTCACCTATGAGTCGTTTCATATCCTTTATTGGTGTTGCGGTTACAGCACTGTGAATAGTGAATGTGAATTTGGGTTGTCGAACTAGAAACCCTTTGTTTCGTTTACTTTATACCCCTCGCTGTTCCAAGTTTTGATTGTGTAGGGAGTGGTGTTGAAGCTACGAAGAGGGTGGCCAGAAGCTAAAATGGCACATTTGCAAGAAGTGGATCGAAGCAAGGGTGAATTCATCCGTTTGGAGCGCGAATCTGTCATTCCAATTCTGAAGCCTAAGCTCATAATGACACTGGCCAATCTTATTGGTACTGCTTTTGTTTGAACCTTCTTTTGCTCCAACTTGGCACCTGAAATTGTTCTCTATGTTGCTGATGTTATTGTCTGGAAGTTATGAAACCATTTTTGGGGAGTGTTCGCACTTTGTTGTGTGCTCTGATTGTGTTGTGGTTGTCCTTGGAATTGAGAGTAAAGTTGCGGGTGGCAAAATCAGTCTTGTTTTTCCCCATTGAAAACAAAATTGGGATGAAATTTACTACTATTTTGGACCCCTTACATGATTTAGTTTTTGAGTGCATCTTTGGAGTTCATATTTTGTATATATTTTAAATGAGATGAAGAAATTTGGCTAGTTTTTCTCCTGTCCTTCAATTCAATGTTATTATATTCTTTGTGGCTTGAGTTCTTTTTGGGTATTATATGCAGAACATAGTTCTGACCGGGCTGAGTTTTTGAAGCTTTCCAAGAGAATAGAGTACACAATTCGAGCTTGGTACCTTCTACAATTTGAGGACTTGATGGTATTATTCATTCCTTGATCTTTCTGATATATTTATAGATGCCTCGTGGTTGTGGAGCTTATTTCCTTTCCGTCTCCAGCAACTTTACTCCCTCTTTGACCCTGTACACGGGGCACAAAAGTTGGAACAACAGAAGTTATCTCTCGAAGAAATTGATGTGCTTGAACAGAATTTCTTGACATACCTTTTTCAGGTACTCTTTCTACTTCATGCATTCAAGTGTAATAATTTCTTGGGGATATTGACAATGATAACGTAGACTTGAAAACCCATCACGGATTATGGTATTAATATAACGAAGTAAATGCTCTAGTTCCCCAATGATTATGGTGCTGCCACATTTTTCCTCCAAAGATTTCTGTCACCAAATTAGTCCGGTGAAAAGACTAAGATCCTGAGTTATTCCTTCAAAGATTATGTTACCAAATTAGTTTGTCTAAGATCTAAAATGTTACCCCATTCATTTTTAAGAACTCCTAAAGTGGTGACACTAAATGGATGAATTTAATAGATGTTATCTTTTGAGGGATTAGTTTAGTTACAAAAATCTTTGGAAGACTTATATGGTGACACTCTAATTTGTGGAGAACCTACTAGATTGCTCCAATATATAGTAACATACGGTATTGATGAGGCATTCTTGTTACAGTCTTGAGTTTACCTGTGTTATTAGGATGAAAGAATGAAAAGTAAAATCACTACTTTTTAACATAGACTAACAGTGTTAAAAGTTTGTTGTACAACACACTGTAGAGTCGTTAAAGAATAAGGCTAAAGACAGGGATTTTAGCTTAAGGTAATCATAACAGATCTCATTTTTAAAGTCTACATCCAAAACAAGGAAGAAATATTTGGTAAATAAAATTACACCATTTTCGGGTCGAGTGCAGACACTTTGATGCTTTATGTAGGTAATGGAAAAGAGCAACTTCAAGATAGTGACTGATGATGAGATTGATGTTGCACATTCAGGCCAATATCTTCTAAATCTTCCGATTATTGTTGATGAGTCTAAGGTTTGTGCATAATAATGCTCCTTTTATGGTGTATTGATGAGATGCTTGATTTTGCTGCTAATAGTTGCTGATGTCTGTATTATGCTGATGAAGCTTGACAAGACACTTCTGAAGAAATATTTTGAAGAGCATCATCATGATGAACTTCCAGATTTTTCTGATAAGGTATGGCTCTGAATCTAGTGTAGGAGGTACTTATCCAAGAGAATTTCTTGGTTCTATGGTGTTCGTTATTCTGTTATCTGGGCTGGGAATCCATGCGTGTGTGTATGTGTCAGTGGCTCCTGTCCCATTTTTAAATTATTGAAACATCCTTAAAATCATGTCGGGAGAAATACCTATCTTATTTAAAATGAAACAGTGGGGGGATGGCTTCATGATGCCTCGATTTCTAGTTCTATATGCTTCTTTCATGACTGTTCTATATGTTGTATATCTTTTTTTGTTACAAATGTCAGACATTCTACAAGCTGTCTAAAGTCTAAACCCCTCACTACTCCTTGTGGCTTAGAATATTTTATATTGAAGTATAGGTAGTCCATCCTTGTTGGAGAAACAGAATCTTAAAATTTTTATAATGTTGTGAGAGTTTTGGTAGCAAATCATGAATCACATTGATTGATGCCCTGGACTTTTGGTAGTCATCCAATATTGAATAATGTGATGTTAAGTTGTTAAATAAAGACCAGAACTTTGTGGTTAAGAAGGTTTATTACGGTAGACACTGGTTTACAAGTATTATTGTTTGCATTAGATTGGAAAAAAATGTAATTCCTCAAAACAATTGAGCTGAACCTGCAAAAACAACAATCTAAAGATTGTTGTTTTGTCCCTTGAGCTTAATCAGATTGTGAAATGGCAAGCTAACGAAGCATATTTTTTAGTATGTTATCTTTCGGCGTGGCATTGGAATTGATCGAACAAATGACTACTTTGTCATGGAGAAAGTGGACATGCTTATTGGACGTTTTTGGGCATATCTGTTGAGGATAACCAGGTAAGCAAACACAGATTAGAAAATATAGTAGTTGATGCTAATGAATAATCCATTATGAGAAGTCATGATATTGATTATTATATTAACTTGTCTCAGCAAGGCATGTAAAAGGGCAATATGAATTAATTTATTGTTTTCATGGATTGGATTATAGTCAATATGACCTTCATCTGTGTAGTGAAAGGCAATAGTTTTTAGTCTATACATGTAAATGTACCATAGTTTCCTAGGTGCTTTTTTCCCCATAGAAGCTTTTTAGAGCTGTACTGCTTGCAGTTTGGAAAAGCTTTTATCCAGAAGATCAAGAAGGCGAAACAAGAAAGATCCAAAGGACAATGAAATTAACTCTGAAGTAGATGGGCAGGACCTCTATGTTGAGCGGATACGTCTTGAAAATATGCAGCTAAGGTTGTAAAATGTTTCTCTCTCTCTCTCTCTTCTGCATTGTTGTTGCTGCTACTACTATATCTCTTGTAATCTTATTTTCTTTCTGGATGACGACCAGTGCCTTCATATAATAGATGCTTATTTGATGAATTTTGGCAAGTAAGATTGACCATTATCTGCAAGTTGAATGTTACTGCTTCTTAAAATCTAGATTTCTGTAAATCCTGATTGTTGGCAGCTTTCATTCAACTTCATATTTAAATTCTCATTGTCTGCACTTTACCACAGAAACTTTTAGTATTGTGTTCATTACTCTGGAAATTCAACCATCTTAGTAGTGGAACCTCAATATTAAGTGAAGGTGATGAAATAGATTCTAATATAATCTTAGAAAGTGAGTTTAGGCTTATCTCAACTCAACAAAACTGGGTTTGTAAGGTGAGGTTGATACTCATTTGTGTATTATAATTTAGTTATATCTTTAGTTAATAATGTAAAATCTCCAACGTACAAGTTTAGGCAATGGTTCAAATGCCTCAAAATTCCACATATATTTAGTACATCTACCTATTTGTCTTTGAAACATATGATGTTTCTTTCTCACCAAAAATGCAGTGCTCATACATCGATGTTGCATAAATTTTCATGGTGTGTGTTGATCTAGTCACTCATGTGATGATTTGCTGCAATTGCCAGTTGCCGTAATTTGCTGGGCAAGACCTTAATCCAAGAACCGACATTTGATAGGATTATTGTTGTCTACAGGTAGGTCTGCCTCATACCTCAAACTTCCTGTAGAAATTTTAATATCTAAGAAGCAAATTATTTTTCAGGAGAGCCGGAACCAAATCAAAAGAGGAACGAGGAATATTTGTGAAGCATTTCAAAAACATTCCGATGGCTGATATGGAAATAGTTCTTGTGAGTTACCTCATTGTGCTTGATATATTGAATATTTTGGTTAAAAGCTCTGAGTGTCTTCTGCTATACACTCAGCTGCACTTTGTATTTATAAAGGTCAAACAATTACACTAAGAAATAGAAAAGGAGTAAACACTGTGCCACGTATGGCAGCAGGTTACAATCAGAACAGTGTCTAAACAGCTTTTATACATAAAAGAAAAGATATAGTCTGCTATCAAACATAAATCTACGTGAAGCTCTTAAAGAACATCCAATTTTTATTAGTGATTTTTCCCCAATACTAGTAAATGACCTCAATCAAAAACTTCTTACTTGACAGCCAGAAAAGAAAAACCCTGGATTAACTCCAATGGATTGGGTCAAGTTTCTTGGATCAGCTATAGTTGGGCTGGTTAGCTTTTTCACCTTGATTTAGTATTTCTGTTTTAGTGTTCTTGTTTTTCAACATCCTGAACTACTAGTGAATCTAATGTTCTTCACAGGTTGCTGTAGTAAGTTCACTAGAAATGCCTTCAGCTGATTGGTGGGTCATCATCGCCGTTCTCTCCACAGTTATTGGTTATTGTGCTAAGACATACTTCACGTAAGTATGTTGGCTGTTCCCTATCATTGGTGATATAATACTGTGCAATGATTATTCTGAAAATTACCTTCATAGATCTCTAAAACTCTATCTATGTTTATTGCAAAGTAATCTAAAGAAATCTCTCCATTTGTTGACTTGTTAAATTGTTGTCTCCACTAAATCATTCTCTTTTTTTCTACTAATTCATGGTTGGACTATCCATTATTCAGTAGTCATGTAGCTTATTGAATTGTGTCACATTTAATAATTTGAGGTGTATGGAAGTAAATGTATTTGAAAATATATTTAACCATCGTGGTCAATAATTTATTTTCCCAACAGATTCCAACAAAATATGGCTCAATACCAAAATTTGATTACGCAGTCAATGTATGACAAACAACTTGACAGTGGAAAGGGTACACTTCTTCATTTATGTGATGATGTCATTCAACAGGAAGTAAGTCCCAGCTTGATACATTGCATTTTTATTGTTTTCCAAATTAAGTCTAGTATTGATAATTGTTAGATATTATTTAATATTGTTAAGATATTGTTAGATATTAACCATAATATCAAACAATATCTTCTGTTTATTCTGTTATTTTCAGTTTCTCTTTTAGTTGTATCTCTCTACTATAAATAGACTACCCTATGTGTGATTTATACACAAGGGAGATTAATCTCAAACTCTATTTCTTCTATATTCAACATGGTATCAGAGCTTAAGGTTATTTTAATTTTTTTTTTTTTGCCTTTGACCACTATTGAAGCCCACCGCCGCTATTGCTGTCAGTTATTTGGTAGTGTGAAAGTGCATGTCTAGGAAAGTTCTGACAAGGAAAAACTTAGTATTTAAGCGTGTCCATTAGTGACCCACCTCTCTTTCCTGGGAACTTACCTGGTGTACTGGTTCACGCCGCTGTCACTATCGCCTCCGCCCTTTATGAGTTCTTCCGCTCCTTTTAGTACTTCCAATTTTGTCGATCTTGCGTCCGATCCTTCCATCTACACTAACTATGTTAATGTGCACTTATCCATTGACAAGTTAAGCTGACCCTAATTATGCCACATGGTCATCAGATGTCAGATTATGGCTTAAGAGTCAGAAGTATCTTGATCATCTTGCCCCGAAAGCACCTACTCTCACTCCTGGTGAGGAAGACCATTGGGACACCATTGATGCTCAATTATGCGTGGTTCTCAAGGGTACTCTTGATCATTCGTTAAAACAAATTTTTCGTTCCTACAAAACATGTGCCAAAATCTGGGAACATGCCAAGTTATTATACACTAATGATACTCAACGTCTCTATGATGTCTGTTTTAAATTTTTAGATGTTATTGCCTCTAAACATCAAGATTCTATGACTGATTATATGGGCAAAATTCATGCTCTTTTTCATGAGTTCAATGAGTTATTGCCTCCTTCCCCCGACCCTGCCACCGAGATAGGACAACGATCAAAGTTCTTCATGCTAGGGGCATTACACGGACTTGCTGATCAATATTCACATATTTGTGATCAGATTTTGGGTTCTTCGGTTGTCCCCACCTTGACATCGACCTGCTCCACTCTTTTGCGTATACCAGCAAAACCCAATCCTGACACACCTGCTTTTGTTAATGATTCTTCTGCATTGGTATCTCACCGTGATGATCGAACTCGCCCTCGCAAACAGGGAAAAGGGCGTCCTAAGTGTGAACATTGTGGCAAGCTAGGTCACAAGATTGACCAGTGTTATGCATTATATGAGTGTGAACATTGTGGCAAACTAGGTCACAAGATTGACAAATGTTATGCATTACATGGTCGTCCTACTCGATCTATTGCAGTTGCTCAGACTGATCTTTCCCCACCTTTATCTGCTAAGGATCCTCCTTCTTCTATTTCATCAGACACATCTGCTATGTTCAATAAATTTCTCAAATGGTATAAGGATCAACAATCTTCTAGTTCCACTGTGTCTGTCGCACACACAGGTACATCTTTTGCTGGTCTGACCCAATCTTCTTCTGGTCCTTGGGTTTTTGATTCAGGAGCCACTGATCATATTACTGGTAACAAATCTTTGTTCTCTTCTTTATCCTCTCCTGATCCTTTACCTTTTGTTACACTAGCTGATGGTTCTAGAGTATCATCTTATGGTGTTGGAACTGTTAAACTTTTCCCTTCTTTAACCATTGATAATGTTCTTTATGTCCCTGGGTCTCCTTTTAACCTTGTTATCCATCGAGTCGTCTAACTCGTTCTCTTGATTGTGTTATCTCTTTTACCAACAATTACGTGTGTTTACGGGACCGGAGTTTGAAACAGGTGATTGGCACGGGATGTGAGTCTCATGGTCTTTATCATCTTCGGCCCTTTACACATGTTGGTGCAGTTATAGAGTCTCCCTCTCTTCTCCATGCTCAGTTAGGTCATCCAAGTCTTGCCAAGTTACAGCAACTTGTCCCTGCCTTATCTAAATTGTCTAGTTTGGCATGTGAGTCGTGTCAATTAGGCAAGCATAGTCGTACTTCCTTTCCTCTTAGTGTCACACGTGGTGCTTCGTCCCCTTTTGCCGTGGTTCACTTTGACATTTGGGGACCTAGCCGCATTAAGTCTACTTTAGGTTTTCAATACTTTGTTACTTTCATTTATGATTATTCTAGATGCACTTGGTTATTTTTGATAAAAAATCGTTCTGAATTATTTCATATCTTTCAAACTTTTTTCAATGAAATTCAAACTCAGTTCGGTGTTTCTATTAGAGTTTTGCGCAGTGATAATGGTCATGAATATCTTTCTCATTCTTTTAAACAATTCATGGCTTCTCATGATATTTTGCATCAAACTTCTTGTGCTTATACACTTTAACAAAATGGTGTAGCTGAACGTAAAAATAGACATCTTATTGAAACAACTCGCACTCTTTTAATTCATGGAGAGGTTCCTCAGCATTTTTGGGGTGATGCTCTTCTTACTGCATGTTATCTTGTTAATCGCATGCCATCTTCGGTTCTAGATAATAAAATACCTCATTCCATTTTATTCCCTCATGAACCACTTCATCCCTTACCTCTAAAAGTTTTCGGGTCTACATGTTTTGTTCATAATTTTAGTTCTAGTCTTGACAAGTTTTCTCCTAGATCACATAAATGTGTTTTCTTAGGGTTTACAAGATCACAAAAAGGATACAAATGTTTTTCTCCTTCTCTTAACCGTTATTTTGTGTCTGCAAATGTCAGCTTTGATGAGTTCTCATTTTATTTTAAAAGTCAATCTTCACCTCTGTCTCCATCAAATCTTGTCAACACTCCTAGTACATTTAATGTTCCTGTTATTTGTGACCCTCTAACTTTGTCTTCTTCACCATTAGATTCTACTCCGCAGTTAGCTTCTTCTTCACTGCCTCTTCAGGTTTATAGTTGCCGAAACCAATCACAACCACCACCATGTGACTCTACTCAAGTACCAACTACTCTGTCTCCTCCGGATGTGACACCTGAGTCTGACCTTCCCATTGCCCTCTGAAAAGGTATCCGTTCTACAGGTAATCTCTCTCCTCATTATATTGGTTTGAGTTATCATCGACTGTTATTACCTTTTTATACATGTCTTTCTTCTCTTTCTTCTGTGACCATTCCAAAAACTGTCCGTGAAGCTTTAGCCCATCCTGGTTGGCGTCAGGCCATGTTAGATGAACTAAGTGCTCTTCATAATAGTGGAACTTGGGAATTGGTCTCGTTACCGTCTGGGAAATCTGTTGTTGGTTGCAGGTGGGTGTTTGCTATCAAAGTTGGACCTGATGGTACTATTGATCGCCTCAAAGCTCGTCTTGTGGCCAAAGGTTATACTCAAATTTTTGGGTTGGATTATGGAGATACCTTTTCCCCTGTGGCAAAGATGACTTCTGTTCGTTTATTTATCGCCATAGCCGCTCTTCAACAATGGCCTCTTTATCAACTAGATGTTAAAAATGTTTTCCTCAATGGTGATTTGCAAAAAGAAATCTATATGGAGTAACCTCCTGGGTTTGTTGCTCAGGGGGAGTCTTCTGGGATGGTATGTCGTCTTCGCAAATCCCTATATGGCCTAAAACAGTCTCCTAGGGCCTGGTTTGGAAAGTTTAGCAAGGTTCTTCAACAATTTGGTATGACTCGGTGTGAAGCAGATCACTCTGTCTTTTATCGACACTCAAGTGCTGGATGTGTTTACTTGATAGTATATGTTGATGACATCGTTCTTACAGGTAGTGACAACCATGGCATCTCTCAGTTGAAACAACATCTCTGTCACCATTTTCAGACCAAAGATCTTAGCAAACTTAGATATTTATTGGGTATTGAGGTGGCACGGTCCAATGATGGTATTGTTATATCTCGGAAGAAGTATGCTATGGATATTTTAGAGGAAGCTGGGTTGATGAATTCAAAGTCTGTTGATACGCCCATGGATCCCAATACTAAACTTTTACCAAATCGGGGGAGTTTATACCGATCCTGAAGCGGTATAGAAGATTGGTTGGAAAATTGAATTATCTTACGAGTTACTCGTCCCGACATTTCCTTTGCGATCGAGTGTGGTAAGCAAATTTCTTAATTCCCCATGTGAAGATCATTGGAATGCGAGTCATTCGTATCTTAAAGTATATTAAAAGATCTCCTGAAAAAGTATTGCTATATGATTCTAATAACCATACAAGAGTTGTTTGCTACTCGAGATGTCGATTGGGCGGGATCTCCTTCGGATAGAAGATCTACATCCGGATATTGTGTCTCCATTGGTGGTAACTTGGTCTCATGGAAAAGAAAGAAACAAAGTGTTGTGGCAAGATCTAGTGCGAAGCGGAATATAGAGCTATGACATTAGTCGCTTGTGAACTTGTTTGGCTCAAGCAATTGCTTAGAGAGTTACAATTTGGAGATGTCACTCAAATGTCACTTGTGTGTGACAATCGATCTGCTCTTCATATTAGTTCTAATCCTGTCTTTCATGAGAGGATCAAACACATTGAGATTGACTGTCATTTCATTCGAGAAAAGATTATGTCTGGAGACATCAAGACTGAGTTTGTTAACTCAAGTGATCAGTTAGCAGATATTTTTACTAAATCTTTACGGGGTCCTAGAATTGGTTATATTTGTAACAAGCTTGACACATACGATTTGTATGCTCCAGCTTGAGGGGAGTGTTAGATATTATTTAGATATTATTTAATATTGTTAAGATATTGTTAGATATTAACCATAATATCAAACAATATCTTCTGTTTATTCTGTTACTTTCAGTTTCTCTTTTAGTTGTATCTCTCTACTATAAATAGACTACCCTATGTGTGATTTATACACAAGGGAGATTAATCTCGAACTCTGTTTCTTCTATATTCAACAATAATTTATGTTGATTTTTTTTATTGTTCAGAAAGTTAGACAGGGCTGGCCTTTCTAATGGTACCTGAAATGGGCCAGCTAATTTCTGCTCAATCCTCAATGTTTCTTGCTTTAGTTTGATTGTGGCTGATCTGTGTTTTGGTTGAACTCTAG